GATGGTGGTGATGGTGATGATGCTGATGATGGGGTGGTGATGATGTGCTGATAGTGTTGATGGTGGTGGTGATGGTGGTGATGATGATGGGGTGATGGTGTTGGTGGTGATGGTGATGATGCTGATGATGGGGTGGTGATGATGTGCTGATAGTGTTGATGGTGATGGTGGTGATGGTGATGATGATGGGGTGATGGTGTTGGTGGTGATGGTGGTGATGATGATGGGGTGATGGTGTTGGTGGTGATGGTGATAATATGACGGTGGTGATGGGTGATGAGATATATTGCTTAGAGTATTTTTTATTCCATAGGATTTACAGGTTATCTGAATTACCATCTAAAACACCTTAATACACAGGGTGATATATATATAAGTAACTATTATTATGTAAAATTTTAATTCCCTTTTTATACAGAGTTAAAACAGTTAGGTATTGGAATAGATGTGGCTATTTTATCCTTCTTAGAAATTTGTATTACTTTTTTTTTAGTGGTTAAAGTGCGTGTGTCAAAATAAGAAAATACAGGAAAAATGTTGCTAATGGTAGCTGTGGGTTGGGACCCAAAGGCTTTTCAGGAATGAACAAGGCGTTAGCAAGTGTTCGTTGCATTTGGAATGCTGTGTTGAACTTTTGCCTGCATGAGAGCTGCACTGTTTGCCCTCACTTGTCTGCTGCCACTCGATCCCATTTTTCCCATTTGCTGCCAGCCCCAGACTCAGTAAGGTATTTGTGTATGGCTAACTTATGTTTATAGCTTTCCAGTCCTGGCTGTATTTGCTATTTAGATTATCTTGATTCATTCAGAAAGTTTTCTTTGCACAGGACATTGTGGTAGGTATAGGAAAGATAATATGAATTCAACACGACTATACCTTTAATGAGCTTATTAGTCTAGTAATGCAGATGAGATGTGCAATAAAATAATAACCAGCCAATCAGTAATAAAGGTAGAACACAATCCATGAAACGAAATGTACAGATGCATTATGAATTTTCAGGCAAGGCATCAGAGAAGGCTTTGGGGAAGAGGTTGTAGTTGAACTGACCCTAGAGGCAGAGGTGGAAATTGGTCGTGGGTCAACATACAGCCCAGAAAGGGGGAACAGCACGAGCACAAGCATGGGCAGGAAATAGTAGGAATTTGACTTAATGGAACATTATACAGTTTTAGCATGTCTAATCCAAAAATTCAAAATCCAAAATGCTCCAAAATCTGAAACTTTCTGAGTACTGACAGGAGGGTGAAAGGAACATTTCGGATTTTGGATTTTCAGGTTAGGGATGCTTGCCTGGTTAAATATCTGCAGATATGCCAAATTTTGAAAAAATCTGAAATGCGAAACACTTCTGGCCCAAGCGTTTCAGATAAGGGCTTGGATTTTGGATTTTCAGGTTAGGGATGCTTGCCTGGTTAAATATCTGCAGATATACCAAATTTTGAAAAAATCTGAAATGCGAAACACTTCTGGCCCAAGCGTTTCAGATAAGGGCTGCTCAACCTGTAGCTAAAATAAAGAACAAGGTTTTGAGCAGAAACATGGCATGGTTAGAACCGTATCGGTAGGTGGTGGTTGTTTAATGACACAACAGGTAGATCGAAGAGAAAGAGACTAGAACTTGATAAGATGGACTGGGATGTTACTGGATGTGGTTTTAGTTATGGATGTTTCTGGAATGAAAGGTGTTGTTTAACAGGATGTGGCTCTTTGGAAGGGAGGGGCAGGGGAATAGAGAGAGTTCAAGAAGGTACCAGCACCCTGAGCTCCTAGGCTGAGGGGGGTGGCAGACAGTCTAGGAAAAAGATAGGGCTGGGAGAGAAGTTTTTCACTTTGGGGCAATTTGATTTTTAAAAGTCGAGAGAACTTCCTAGTGGAGATTTCTGGCATGTATTGGAAATGCTGTACTGAGACTAGGTAAAGATCAGGGCTGACCATAGAGATTTGGGAAGCACTTGCCGCATGGTGATAGCTGAGGATGAGACTGGATGGTGTAGCAGGAGCCCTGAAGTCAGCTGCAGACGCTGTCTCCAGTCCTGTGAAAGCCTCAGTCCCTCGCAGCCCACTTGTACTTGCACACACACAGATTTATTTATGTGTGCTTTTTTGGGGTGCATAGACCCCAGGTTAGTTCCTGAAATAGGGATGGATATGATCCAAATATGGACCTTTGGGAAACGCCTACATTTAAGAGGTGGAAGAGGAAAGAAGAGCTAGAAGAGCAGTATGTTAGAGTTTTGATCTTTCTGTAGCGTCTGGAGAACATTGTGCCCACGTGAGAGGCTTCTCACAGGTGCCTCGCATGAAGATCGCTGCTGCCATTAAGTTAGTACTGCTGCTCCTGCAGTGGCTGCTGTGGCAGCTGCTTTGCTGCCATTGCTGCTGCTGCTGCTGCACTGCCACTGCTACTACTACTACACTACTACTACTGAACTATTACTGCTACTACTACTACTACTGCTGCTGCTGCTGCTACTGTACTGCTACTGCTACTACTACACTACTTATTACTGCTTGCAGCTACTACTGCTGCTACTGTACTACTACTGCTGCTACTGTACTACTACTGCTGCTGCTGCACTGCTACTGCTACTGCACTACTACTGCTGCTACTGCACTACTGCTGCTGCTACTGCACTAATACTACTGCTGCTGCTGCAGCTACTACTACTACTACTGCTGCTACTACACTAATACTACTGCTGCTGCTGCAGCTACTACTGCTACTACTGCTGCTACTATACTAATACTACTGCTGCTGCTGCAGCTACTACTACTACACTAATACTGCTGCTGCTGCAGCTACTACTACTACTACTGCTGCTACTGCACTACTACTGCTGCTGCTGCTGCAGCTACTACTGCTACTACTGCTGCTACTGCACTACTACTACTACACTAATACTGTTGCTGCTGCAGCTACTACTACTACACTAATACTGCTGCTGCTGCAGCTACTACTACTACTACTGCTGCTACTACACTAATACTACTGCTGCTGCTGCACTACTACTGCTACTACTGCTGCTACTACACTAATACTACTGCTGCTGCTGCAGCTACTACTACTACTACTGCTGCTACTGCACTAATACTACTGCTGCTGCTGCTGCACTACTACTGCTACTACACTAATACTACTGCTGCTGCTGCACTACTACTGCTACTACTGCTGCTACTACACTAATACTACTGCTGCTGCTGCAGCTACTACTACTACTACTGCTGCTGCTGCACTACTACTGCTGCTACTACACTAATACTACTGCTGCTGCTGCACTGCTACTACTACTACTGCTGCTACTACACTAATACTACTGCTGCTGCTGCAGCTACTACTACTACTACTGCTGCTACTGCACTACTACTACTGCTACTACTGCACTAATACTACTGCTGCTGCTGCAGCTACTACTACTACTACTGCTGCTACTGCACGCTACTGCACTAATACTACTGCTGCTGCTGCAGCTACTACTGCTGCTGCTACACTACTACTGCTGCTACTACACTAATACTACTGCTGCTGCTACTACTGCTGCTACTGCTACACTACTACTACTGCTGCTACTACACTACTACTACTGCTGCTACTACACTACTACTACTGCTGCTACTACACTACTACTACTGCTGCTACTACACTACTACTACTGCTGCTACCGCACTACTACTACTGCTGCTACTACACTACTACTACTGCTGCTACTACACTAATACTACTGCTGCTGCTGCAGCTACTACTACTACTACTGCTGCTGCTACTGCACTAATACTACTGCTGCTGCTGCAGCTACTACTACTACTGCTGCTGCTGCACTGCTACTGCTACTGTACTACTACTGCTGCTACTGTACTACTACTGCTGCTGCTGCAGCTACTACTACTACTGCTGCTACTACACCAATACTACTGCTGCTGCTGCAGCTACTACTACTACTGCTGCTGCTACTGCTACTGCACTACTACTGCTGCTACTATACTACTGCTGCTACTGCACTAATACTACTGCTGCTGCTACTACTGCTGCTACTGCACTAATACTACTGCTGCTGCTACTACTGCTGCTACTGCACTAATACTACTGCTGCTGCTGCAGCTACTACTACTACTGCTGCTACTGCTGCAGCTACTACTACTGCTGCTGCTGCTACTGCACTGCTACTGCTGCTGCTGCTGCACTACTGCTGCTGCTACTACACTACTACTGCTGCTACTGTACTACTACTGCTGCTACGGTACCAGTACTGCTGCTACTACGCTAATACTACTGCTGCTGCTGCAGCTACTACTGCTGCTGCTGCAGCTACTACTACTACTGCTGCTACTACACTAATACTACTGCTGCAGCTGCAGCTACTACTACTACTGCTGCTACTGCACTACTACTGCTGCTACTACACTAATACTACTGCTGCTGCTGCAGCTACTACTACTACTACTGCTGCTACTGCATTACTACTGCTGCTACTACGCTAATACTACTGCTGCTGCTGCAGCTACTACTACTACTGCTGCTACTACACTAATACTACTGCTGCTGCTGCAGCTACTACTACTACTGCTGCTACTACACTAATACTACTGCTGCTGCTGCAGCTACTACTACTACTGCTGCTACTACACTAATACTACTGCTGCTGCTGCAGCTACTACTACTACTGCTGCTACTACACTAATACTACTGCTGCTGCTGCAGCTACTACTACTACTGCTGCTGCTGCACTACTGCTGCTGCTACTACACTAATACTACTGCTGCTGCTGTTGCTACTACTACTACTGCTGCTGCTGCACTGCTACTGCTACTGCACTACTACTGCTGCTACTGTACTACTACTGCTGCTACGGCACTACTACTACTGCTGCTGCTGCACTGCTACTGCTACTGCACTACTACTGCTGCTACTGTACTACTACTGCTGCTACGGCACTACTACTACTGCTGCTGCTGCAGCTACTACTACTACTGCTGCTGCTGCAGCTACTACTACTACTGCTGCTACTGCACTACTACTGCTGCTACTACACTAATACTACTGCTGCTGCTGCTGCACTACTACTGCTGCTACTGCACTACTACACTAATACTACTGCTGCTGCTGCACTACTACTGCTGCTACTGCACTACTACTGCTGCTACTACACTAATACTACTGCTGCTGCTGCACTACTACTGCTGCTACTGCACTACTACTGCTGCTACTACACTAATACTACTGCTGCTGCTGCTGCTGCACTACTACTGCTGCTACTGCACTACTACACTAATACTACTGCTGCTGCTGCACTACTACTGCTACTACACTACTACTGCTGCTGCTGCACTGCTACTGCTACTACTGCTGCTACTACACTAATACTACTGCTGCTGCTGCAGCTACTACTACTACTACTGCTGCTACTGCACTACTACTGCTGCTGCTGCTGCAGCTACTACTGCTACTACCGCTGCTGCTACTGCACTGCTACTACAGTACTGCCTCTGCTATCTCTACTGCTGCTGCAATGTTATTATACTGCTGCTGCTGTTACTACTACTGCTGCTACTATACTACCAGTACTTTTTTCAGTGACAGTGAGTCCAGCTGTCCCCGTCATCTTCTCTGCTGATGCCATCCTGTCTATTGATATTTTCAAACTGGTTAACTTAGGTAGTAGGAAGAGACTTAAACTTGGAATTGAAAGGCATTGCCTCTCTTATTCTTTCTTAACATTGAACAAACATTTTGCCATTTCTCAATTTTAGATTGTTCCTCAGTGCGGGGATATTTTCTAACTCAAGTGTTATTGTGGTTTTTAAATAAATTGAATGTTCAGATATATTTTATAACTGGTTTTGTGCTATACAAATGTCAATTGGCATTATGAGAAGCTTTATTATGTACATAGTCACCACATGCTATTTCTTCTCAGTATATAAAGCTATGGAAACTTTTTCTCTTCATATGTTACAGCATAGAGTTAGGTGTCTTTATTGGTGACAGTCTAGAAAGTCTCCATGACTTTCATAGTGTTCACTCTGTGAAGCTGTGATAGGGCTGTGTGATAGCACCTGACCTACACGGGGTTGTTCAGTTCACAGGGCTCAGTCACCTGTTTTCTTTTGGTCTTGAGACTTAATTTATGACAGCGTCTTCTTGGTGTGTATGGGGCAGTCAGCACTGACTTGCCCTGTTGCCAGAGTGTTGCAGTGAGTTTTCAGGTTAGTGACAGTGCAGAAGGGATAGTGGATATCAAGAGCAGGCTGCTGCAGCCCATCGGTTGGCGCAGATGCCTGCTGTGGACGGAGCGGGGTGGGAGCATCTTCAGAGTTGTCGTCTTGGGACTGTGGGTTTGGTCTGTCATGGGTGCTGTAGACAGGTGTTGGCCCTGATTTTTGTACGTTTGCCTTTAGTGTGCCTCTGTTAAAATACAGGTGTGTGTTTTTCCCTTTTGTTCTTTACAGCTGCAGATTTATTCACAGATTTAGAAAATGCATTTCAGGGGAAAATTGATGCTGCTTATTTTGAGACCAGCAAATATCTATTGGATGTTCTCAGTAAGAAATACAGCCTGCTGGACCACATGCAGGCGATGAGGCGGTACTTGCTTCTTGGTCAAGGAGACTTTATAAGGCACTTGATGGATTTGCTGAAGTAAGAAACCATCACTATTTTGATTTTTATAAATATGTGGTACACTTAACATGATAAAGAGTTATAATTTCTGTTTAAAAGAATAAACGGCTTTAGAGGAAAACAAGTTGAATTCTTACAGAGTGTATTTTAAAAATAAAATTTAGAAAGGTTAAATTGTGAAAGTTTCAGAAGTTAGAAGCCCCTTTGTTTTTGCCCTGGTGCCAGCGGGCACCATTGTCCTGTGCTGTATTCATAAGTGAGGCTGTGACACTTCTTGTCTTGCAGTGTGAGAAGCTTATGGTGTAACCACAATTAGCTTTAGCTTCAGTTTGAAATCAATCCGAAAAATTTTCAAAACCAAACTTTTGGTTCCATATTTTTAGTTAACTTTGTTTCACGGAAAAACAAAACTGTTACCCTTTTCATTTTGTTCCCTGACATTTCTTCTAGCCTCTTCTATGCAGCATTAAAAGTATGTCCCTCCCATGCATCAGTAGAGACAGAGATGGCTCTAGTCCAGGAAAAACAAAACTGTTACCCTTTTCATTTTGTTCCCTGACATTTCTTCTAGCCTCTTCCATGCAGCATTAAAAGTATGTCCCTCCCATGCATCAGTAGAGACAGAGATGGCTCTAGTCCAGAGTCTCTGGTCCTTCTGGCTCCAGAGACAACCCGGATCCTGAGTGCAGCCCAGGCTAGGCTCCCAGGCAGTGCTGGCCAGTGAGCAGCCAGGGGTGGGCATGGCACAGGTTGGGATCTGCACTCAGGCATTAATAAGAATGGAAACGTCCTATTTTTTGGTATTTCCCTCTGCAACACTTAATATAAGTTAAATGTTCCCTTTAGTAATTTACCTTTAAATTCTGCCTGTGCTAATCAAGCAATTGTTTTAGGCCTTTGGTCCTCAATCTTCAGCATGCAGTAGACTCTCCTAGAGAGCCGTTGAGGTGGGTCGCTGGCCCACCTCCAGAGTAACCCTCAGCTGATTGGGGTGGAGCTCAGGAATTTGCATTTCTAGTCAGTCCCAGCTGATGGTGATATTGCTGTCATGGGGACTACACTTTGAGAACCACTGCTTTAGACACAGGTGCTCCTGTAGTCCTGCCTTGTAAACAGAAGTCAGTCTTCAATATGAAAAATAATTTAGTTTTTCGAGGCACACCTAGCAATAGCTGACCTTCTACACACTTGTGAGCCGATTATCTGCTAAAGATTGATGCTTTGTGATTATATGTCCTGAAGTAGCATTTCTGCACTGCAGGTAAAGGAGGGCTTACTAGTAAGTTAGTGCCAGTCATGAGGTTGGTACCTGCTTGAAGGGTGAGTGGTGATGAGTCTTTAAAGGGGAGGTATTCTCATGGCGTGGGGCTGTGGGTGTTAAGCATGGCTAGAGGGAAGCTGACTTACCGTATCTGTCTTGTGCTAGATTTTAATATTTAAAGTGTCTCATTCTTGCTATTAAATGAAAAATGTATTACTTCTTGAAGGTGTGTTTTAAGTTTCTGTTTTAAGTTTATAAAAGTGGAGCACCACCAGTGTGTCTGTCTCCAGCTTGCGTCAGGCTTATTCCAGCACAGGTGACATTGTGTGTCTTCTTCGCCATGTCTCTGCCCAGCATTTTACAGAGTGTGTATGTCACCTGATGACCATTGGCTGCATTCCCAACTTGGTCAGCTCTTGATCTGAGAAATGTTAGCTTTGTACTTGGAAACGCAGGTGTCGGTAACCCTCAAGAAACGTTTGCTGATAATGCAGTGGTCCTTGGCCCTGTAGAATCCTGACAGCCACGTGTTGAATTGTTTAGAATTAATGAAGACCTCTTCTCCCATTAGGACTATACAGGAAATTATAGTAATTCATGCTACTCATTGGCCAGTCTTAAGTTTGAAAACTTGATTTTTAACATCTATAGCACATCTACATACTTTCAATTTAAGCTCAATCAAAATATTTTTGAGATTTTAAATGTTTTCTTCTCCAAAAGAATTTGCAAACCTTATTTGCAATTAATGCTTTGAAGCTTTTATTTCCACATTTTACCACATTATAGTATTGGTCCCATTTGTCTCTTCATTTTTATAATTTGAACTCTTTTTATAATTTATAAGTTTTTGAAAAGTTCATTAAGAACTTAAGTAACATTTTCTTTAATTTTTTTTTAAAACATTGTTAAGGCCAGAACTTGCTCGTCCAGCTACGACTTTGTATCAACATAACTTGACTGGAATTCTTGAAACCGCAGTCAGAGCCACCAATGCCCAGTTTGACAGTCCCGAGATCCTGAGGAGGCTGGATGTGAGGCTGCTGGAGGTATTGCAGATCTGTGTGTTGGGACTGCCGCTCTGTGAGCCCACTGAGCTGGGGGGTACTAGCAAGTGTTCTCTATGTTATTTAAGGCACAAATAGTCTTGTCATTCCTAGAGACTGGGCAGCCTCAATATGAACCCCACCCTGGCACTTGTCTCTGGGTGGTCATAGTCAGGACAGCCCCACTAAACCACTCTGGGTCTCAGTTTGCTCACCTTACAGAGGGGGTGTCTTGCTGGCTGCTGGGCTCAGGTTGGGTAAAATGCGTGAGACACTTACCCCAGTGCTTTATAGTACATCACAGATGCTTAGTAAATTGTACTTACTTTTCATCGTAAATTTGATAGGAGGCACAGGACATGATGTATAGTAATAATATTTATTTACTAGAAAATTGATGTTTTTAGTTTGTTTGGTAAGAGGTGACTTTTCTTGGGGACATGGGTATTATAAAC